AATGCTGGTTTTCTCAGGTACAAAATAGCAAATTCTCTGATTTTAACCCCCCCCCCAATCCATCTTTTTCCGTGATTAAAATGAAATGCCACTATATCTATCTATATCGGTATCAGTTGAACACAATATTTTATTGATACATTTACAATTTAAAGCGATTTTGAAGTGTACCAATGCCTCAATCACTATACTAAAATAAATTCTAAGTACCTATATATTTTGGTGTTTAACTTTGGTTTTATCACGGAAAATTAAATCTCCCCCTGCCCCTTTGCTCACCAGGATGGGGGTCCAGCAGCTGCCGTCTCCCCACCCCCACTGCTTTGTGGCACTGAGCAGCCCTAATATGCTGGTGCTCTGCCCATGCCATTGCCCCTCAATTCACAAGCCACAGCCCCCCACCCCTGCTGATGCCCCTCACTCCCTACCCACAGCCCCCGACCCCAGCCCTGTCAGAGGTGTCTCCCAACTGCCAGGGCTATGGGGCCAGGGACTCGGGTTCATAGCCCCCTGCCCCTTGCAGCAGCGCTCAAGCCCCGGCTGCTCCCCAAGGGAGGCAATGGCTGCTAAGGTGGAGTGGAGACGCGGCTCTCCTTCCCCCACAGGTGGCACAGGCAGACCAGAGCCCATCGGGGGTGGTGGGAGGAGGGGGGGGAGGGAGATGTGGGTTGCCCACCACGGGCTCAGGGCTCCCTGCCCTGCTGCCCTCCCCTGGGGCCTCTGCAGCCCAGCAAGTGAGATCCAGGGCGGCAGGGCAGAGAAACTTGATGCCACCACTGCAAGCCATGCAACACCATGGCGAGGCACCCCTGCCTGCCTGCCTGGCAGCCACGAGGGTTAAAACTTGGTGTTGCTGCCCCTGCTGCTGCCGGATGTGCAGGAGGTGCCTTGCTTTGACGGCACAGGGCTTCCAGTGGTGGCCCCAAGCTTCCCTGCCCCACTCTGCCCTGCCATGCTGGGTCTCACCTGCTGGGCCACGGACGCCCTGTGGGGAGAGCAGCAGGGCAGGGAGCCCCAAGCCCACAGTGGGCATCCACCCTGTTCCACACACAAATCTGGGGACAAATGCCCTCCCCAGGAACACACACAGCAATGGGAAGCCAGCCCTCCCACACCCTAGACAAGCCGCCCACACCTCTGTCATGCTCCCCACCTGGGTCCTGCAGTCACACGTTCCAGCCCTGGGCCCCAAGCCCCATGTGCTGTCCGGGCTGGACAGCAGCCCCAGCCCCAGACCTGCTCAACTCTCTCCCTCCCTCACTTGTGGAGCCCCAACCCCCAGCCATGCGTACAAGTGCACATGGTGTCCTCCGCTGATAGCCCTTTTCCCACTCTCCCCAGTCTTTTGCAGGCTGGAACTCTGCCAGACTGCAATGGGAAACCTGCTGTTTCCCAGGTTTTTTCCTTAAAATGAGAAAATCTGGGTTTTACTGCGTTTTTTCCATGGTGAATGCAAAACCTGGATCCCTGCTGATTAGAAAGGTGTACACAAACCAATTCTGAGATATTTCTGATTCAGAACAAGCACAGGCACAACTTGTCTAGGGACAAATGCAATGTCTGTTCTGAGCCATAGTAATTATTGCATCAAGGCTCTTACTTTTGGATGAGCTAAAGCACACTTTTGAGAAGACGTCCAATCTTGACTTAAAAAGTCAAGTGACCGAGAATCCACCACCTGTGTTGGCAAACTGAGTTAATGGTTAACTATCTTCACTAAGGTGGGTGTCTGACAGCTAACCCTATTTTCAACATTCACTATATTTTTGCACTGACAGTATTCAGAGCTGCATTGTAAACTCTCAGTTGTGGGAAGCTGGAGGCTGTAGCCTGTGGGCAGAGGACAGTTGGGGGTTTCTGCTGCTAATACAAACCTGTAGCAAAGCAAACAACAGTATTAACCACTGTCATTCAGAATCTTTAGAACACACAAAACAGATCATAAGGTTGATTTTGTTCCCTCCTACACATTTCACTTCTAAAAAATATCACCCAGAAAAGTCATATAGGCCTTAAAAAGCTAATATTCAAATACTGACACACACTTGCAGTTTTAGCTGCACCATATTTTCACCCAGATATATGTCTATTGACTCCTATGTGGCACAGAGAAGTGCGCTACATCAAGCCATCCACCACATTTTAAGCCATGTATCAGCATCTGAAAAAGTTCTAGCTATCATAAGAGCACATTATAAAACAGTTATAAAAAGGAGTAGATTCTGCAACCCAGAGCAGAATCCTGTTCTTATTGATGTTATATAGTTTTTTTAATTGGCTTCCATGGACATAAGGTAGACTCCATGAAAAAGTGTTCTGAACTGAATTTTAAAAGCAACATACACTGAAAAATTACCCATATAAACCACCAAAAGGAGGAGTTTGAGACTTACTTTCCCCACCAAATATTTGGCCTGTCCAATTTTTTGTGCATTATCCTGTTAAACACAGCTTCCAAATCAATGTAGCAGTCATCATCTGTCTTCAACAACAAATCAAAACTTGTTGATTCTACTGTCCTGTTGCCAAGACAAAAATAGTGATTTAGTGGAAAGCAATTCAAAACTACATTAAAATTCTGTAACAAAACCTATATGCAATCTAAACAGTAGGGACCCTCTAGAGAGGTAAGCCATTCTTCCCTGTCTTTTTAAATGGTTATGCTCTAGGCTCATAGTGAGGACTGACTGCTGGTTCTAAAGGAGGAACGCATAACCACTATGACATCATCTCATGGCATGGGTTTATTTCTGCAAGAAACTTGAGGAAGGAATTTTGCAATCCAGGACAGATGGCAGGATTAATTTACAATGAATCTGTCTGAAATAGTACTGACCTCAGAAAGATGCAAGCTCCTGCTGATGACTGCACCACAGCTGTTCTGGCCATGGGCTATATAAAGGGTGAGTGGCCTAACTAGTTTTCTGCACACTATAGTTGGTTCAAGTGTGATATAACTGGGAAAGTGTCCAAGGAATGATCTGTAGCAATAATTTGGTGCTTATTCTCTGTAAGGCAGTTTCCACACATTGAAATGAGTAATCCCCAGCACCGCTGGGAGGTACTGCTATTATTTTATAGATGGAAAAACTGGCAGGAAAGGAGAAACTCTAAGAACTAGAATGAGATTATTCCCTGAGTTATCCCTAAAGGACTTGTTCACACTTTTGTTCATATTTTTAATAACATTCTATATAGTCACATTCCCTAAAGAGAAAAATATTTTCCTTCTAACCATTATTCCAGAAACTGAAAAGGAGATACATTTCTGCTAATGTGCAACCAGACAATACAGACACTAGGAAAATCTGTACTTTAACTTATTTTGAAAACTTTTTTGTAACCCTTTTGAACACTGGCTGACTACTTCAGTTAATCATTTGTGCACTTCCTGTCCCCCTCAAACAATTTCTATGAGGTGTTGGAATGATACTGGTAGTCTTTAAAGTTATAATTTAAAACAAAGGAAGAATGCACACAGGCTCAAAACATATCATTGAATTAGCTTCACTAGTTTCTCCACACCTACAGAAATAAGAATAAGGAAGCAACGCCCTGTGGGGAGAGCAGCAGGGCAGGGAGCCCCAAGCCCACAGTGGGCATCCACCCTGTTCCACACACAAATCTGGGGACAAATGCCCTCCCCAGGAACACACACAGCAATGGGAAGCCAGCCCTCCCACACCCTAGACAAGCCGCCCACACCTCTGTCATGCTCCCCACCTGGGTCCTGCAGTCACACGTTCCAGCCCTGGGCCCCAAGCCCCATGTGCTGTCCGGGCTGGACAGCAGCCCCAGCCCCAGACCTGCTCAACTCTCTCCCTCCCTCACTTGTGGAGCCCCAACCCCCAGCCATGCGTACAAGTGCACATGGTGTCCTCCGCTGATAGCCCTTTTCCCACTCTCCCCAGTCTTTTGCAGGCTGGAACTCTGCCAGACTGCAATGGGAAACCTGCTGTTTCCCAGGTTTTTTCCTTAAAATGAGAAAATCTGGGTTTTACTGCGTTTTTTCCATGGTGAATGCAAAACCTGGATCCCTGCTGATTAGAAAGGTGTACACAAACCAATTCTGAGATATTTCTGATTCAGAACAAGCACAGGCACAACTTGTCTAGGGACAAATGCAATGTCTGTTCTGAGCCATAGTAATTATTGCATCAAGGCTCTTACTTTTGGATGAGCTAAAGCACACTTTTGAGAAGACGTCCAATCTTGACTTAAAAAGTCAAGTGACCGAGAATCCACCACCTGTGTTGGCAAACTGAGTTAATGGTTAACTATCTTCACTAAGGTGGGTGTCTGACAGCTAACCCTATTTTCAACATTCACTATATTTTTGCACTGACAGTATTCAGAGCTGCATTGTAAACTCTCAGTTGTGGGAAGCTGGAGGCTGTAGCCTGTGGGCAGAGGACAGTTGGGGGTTTCTGCTGCTAATACAAACCTGTAGCAAAGCAAACAACAGTATTAACCACTGTCATTCAGAATCTTTAGAACACACAAAACAGATCATAAGGTTGATTTTGTTCCCTCCTACACATTTCACTTCTAAAAAATATCACCCAGAAAAGTCATATAGGCCTTAAAAAGCTAATATTCAAATACTGACACACACTTGCAGTTTTAGCTGCACCATATTTTCACCCAGATATATGTCTATTGACTCCTATGTGGCACAGAGAAGTGCGCTACATCAAGCCATCCACCACATTTTAAGCCATGTATCAGCATCTGAAAAAGTTCTAGCTATCATAAGAGCACATTATAAAACAGTTATAAAAAGGAGTAGATTCTGCAACCCAGAGCAGAATCCTGTTCTTATTGATGTTATATAGTTTTTTTAATTGGCTTCCATGGACATAAGGTAGACTCCATGAAAAAGTGTTCTGAACTGAATTTTAAAAGCAACATACACTGAAAAATTACCCATATAAACCACCAAAAGGAGGAGTTTGAGACTTACTTTCCCCACCAAATATTTGGCCTGTCCAATTTTTTGTGCATTATCCTGTTAAACACAGCTTCCAAATCAATGTAGCAGTCATCATCTGTCTTCAACAACAAATCAAAACTTGTTGATTCTACTGTCCTGTTGCCAAGACAAAAATAGTGATTTAGTGGAAAGCAATTCAAAACTACATTAAAATTCTGTAACAAAACCTATATGCAATCTAAACAGTAGGGACCCTCTAGAGAGGTAAGCCATTCTTCCCTGTCTTTTTAAATGGTTATGCTCTAGGCTCATAGTGAGGACTGACTGCTGGTTCTAAAGGAGGAACGCATAACCACTATGACATCATCTCATGGCATGGGTTTATTTCTGCAAGAAACTTGAGGAAGGAATTTTGCAATCCAGGACAGATGGCAGGATTAATTTACAATGAATCTGTCTGAAATAGTACTGACCTCAGAAAGATGCAAGCTCCTGCTGATGACTGCACCACAGCTGTTCTGGCCATGGGCTATATAAAGGGTGAGTGGCCTAACTAGTTTTCTGCACACTATAGTTGGTTCAAGTGTGATATAACTGGGAAAGTGTCCAAGGAATGATCTGTAGCAATAATTTGGTGCTTATTCTCTGTAAGGCAGTTTCCACACATTGAAATGAGTAATCCCCAGCACCGCTGGGAGGTACTGCTATTATTTTATAGATGGAAAAACTGGCAGGAAAGGAGAAACTCTAAGAACTAGAATGAGATTATTCCCTGAGTTATCCCTAAAGGACTTGTTCACACTTTTGTTCATATTTTTAATAACATTCTATATAGTCACATTCCCTAAAGAGAAAAATATTTTCCTTCTAACCATTATTCCAGAAACTGAAAAGGAGATACATTTCTGCTAATGTGCAACCAGACAATACAGACACTAGGAAAATCTGTACTTTAACTTATTTTGAAAACTTTTTTGTAACCCTTTTGAACACTGGCTGACTACTTCAGTTAATCATTTGTGCACTTCCTGTCCCCCTCAAACAATTTCTATGAGGTGTTGGAATGATACTGGTAGTCTTTAAAGTTATAATTTAAAACAAAGGAAGAATGCACACAGGCTCAAAACATATCATTGAATTAGCTTCACTAGTTTCTCCACACCTACAGAAATAAGAATAAGGAAGCAGGCCCAAGATCTTTACAGCTAATATGAGCCCATATTCTTGACACTCCAGGTGTTGTAGGTACAGTTCTGACATTTTCTGTACACCCCAACAGGTGACCCACAGGCTGTGGTAGCAAGTGGGTGCTATGGTTATAACTAGTGCTCTGAACAATGTGGAAGGCCTTCTGAAACCCTCTAGAGCGGGGACAGAGCCTGTGAGACACTGAGCACTTTCTTTCAGATGAAATCTGCATTGCGGTTAAAATAAAGAGCACATAAGCCCTGCCAATGTTGGACCTTTTGGACCTATTCAAAAACTCAACTCCCACTTTTCTTTTGACTTCAATGGGCTTTGGGCCAGGCCTCCTGTTGTCAACCAGCATCTAACACTGACATTTAAATTGCTAGTCTTCAGATAAATCTGTGGTATAATGCCATCGTTAGACTTATCTGAAGACTAGCAATTTAAATGAGCAATGACTTCAGGTAGGGCTGAGGCCAATCTTATGAAGAAAACTAACAACAATCAAAACAGAATATGATTTAACACAGGTTTGAGACAGTAGAGCGGACTGATTTATAGAGCAGTCTGTTCTGTACATTTGTTTTTATTAAGGCAGAGACTATGGCCTTTGTGGCAGCATTGTTGATTTTCATCACCAAACAGTTTTCTTTCCTTTGCAGTGAGAAAAATGATTAAAACTTAAAAAAAAGAAATCACTGCAGGCTACATACTCTGTAACACCATGGACTACCCTGCACCAGAAATATATCCTTAGGGAGTGCTTTAGTTATGTTTGTTTCCAACCTACCACCTGTAGAAGTTCAGCAGTTTGGCTGGAACATTTCTGTATGTGTCAACCACGTCTACAAATACAATATCATCATAGATTCTGCTTTCTTCTTTCAACAAGGCATCCTCTTCTTCCAGGTTTTTCAAGTGGCTTTCAAACCTTTCAGGGCGAGTATGAAGGTTTTTTAAGAGAGCATCACCTTCTGAAGGAGGGAGGAGAAATTATGCAGACAAAATTATGTCCCTATTACTACTTTCCCCATGCAATTGTGTAATTTTTCTTATACCACATCCTCATATTTATAGATTCAATTTGCCAGTAAACATCAAGATAAATTAGGAAATTCTGCAAGTAGTTAAAAAACAGGCACAAGTTTTAACAATTAAATGATTAAAATTAGAATTATTACAGGATTATTTGAAGACTGTATGTGTTCGTCTTGCAGAACACTACTTTGCTTCATGGAAACACTTCCAAAATACTAACTCTTGTTTAACAGAAGTAGTTGTCTGATATTTTATTCTCTTCCTTTTATCCTCAAAAAATGGGAAGGCTGCTCTAGCGAACTTCAGTTAATCCAAACTGCATGAACGTCTAATACAAACCAAGACTGACAGCTGTACTAAACGTAGCTATGTTGTCTTAAACCACTCTACTGAAGCTCAGCATATTGTCACAGCACAATCACACTGACCTGACATTGCTGCGTAAATGCATTAAGGCAGCATTGTCCAATGTGTGACCCATGGGGCACGTGATGCATGAGGGGTTAATATGTGGCCCCTGGGCAGTAGAGGGCTTGTTTCAGTGTGGCCCTGTTTCTTGACTCTGCCCTCAGGGCAGTGCAGGGCATAGCAGTACATCCTGCACCTTGGGGAGCCAGGGGCCTGTGTGTGCAGCACTGTGCAGTGGGAGCACCTGTGTACAATGTGGTTTGGTGCAGCATGGGGAAGGAAGCATTCACACGGGGCGGACGTGGTCTCAGGGAAGACCTGGTCCATGCTGGTGCAGCCTGCAGACTTTGCAGCCTCCAGATACTCCCATGTCAGCCAGCTCTGCATTAAGGGAAACTGGACAGACATTCCCTGGGTATATTCAATGCATTTTTGAACCTGCTCCTGCACAGATGTCTGGGAGATGGGACTGCTCAATCTTATCTCCTAGTCCTACCTCACCACAGCATAGGAATTATGCTGTAACACAGCTGTTGCTGTGTTTACAACCTTGTTATGCATAGCAAAGATCTGCAGTGTAGACAGATACTTATTAGTATGAGCAAAGCCTTGTGCTTGCCCTATGTTTCTTCTAGGTGCCTGAGAAGTTCTACAAATAAGCTGGTGGACTCACCCTCAGGTATCATTTTAAAAACAGGTTAAATAACTTCCACTTCTTTTCATTCTGAAGCAGAAACCTGTCCTGATTTTTTGAAAAACATGAACTTTTTTGCATTGTAGCACTATCCATGGGCCACAGTATCTGTCAACTTCAGTACTAAGGGCCCAAAGACCACACAGAGCTTGAAAGGGCTCCCAGAGGCTCTATATTCAATCTTCTCAAATGGGAAGAAAGGGTAACTGTACTGCTGGGACAGGTAAGAGCATTTTAGGTCAGTCAGGTTTATCACCATTAAGGAGTCAGCACTTATCAATAGGTACCACTGCGGTGCCAGATATACCACATTAATTACTGGCAAAAAGCTGACTTTTTTAAGGCCCCCTCCCCACATCAGGTAAAGACACGAGGGGATCTAATGTGCAATTCACACAATCATGCCTCCTGCCACGGCACACGTGCATGACAGAAGGTGCAACTGTGGGATTATGCATTAGATCCCATTGCACCTTGGGGAGCCCAATAACCAAGTTCCTGTGGCTGGGAACCTCATACACCCCAGCTGAGGGGCTCCCAGCTGCAGGGGTGCCCCATGCCCCGCAGGGCAGGATGATCACAATCTCCCCACCCTGGTGGGGTGTGAAACCCCCTGAGCCAGAGGATTACCACAGCAGTGATCCTCTTGGCTCAGGAGTTTCACGCAACCCCAGAATGGGGAGATCACCTCTGCAGCAATTCTCTGGCCCTGGAGGTTTCCCACCCCACTGGGGCTAGGGGATTGTCCTTGTAGTGATCCTCTGACCACAGGGGTTTTGTGCACTTTATAGCTGGTTGGCAATTTTTATAGTGTGATAAGTACTTGGCATGTGTAGCTAGTCTCAAGCAATACCTGTAATGTGTAGAGGGGGCTTAAGACAACCATTATGAACTTTTTTCTTTTTTAAAACATGGGCCTGATAACAAGGATCAAGGACAAAGTCAGGGAAATGAGCCTGGATCAAAAATAAAAAGGTTGCTTGTAGTGATGAAAAGACAGTGAACTGACAACATCAGCTGGGCCAGGGAATAAGAAGCAAGCAGAAAGACTGTGAGAACATCACCACAGTTTATTCTCTAGAGGAATAGACTGATTATCCTAAAAGTAGAACTTTTTAGCCCAGCAAAGTAATATTGGACAGTTTCAAGGCAGTTATTTAAATGTCCTATTGTATAACAATAGAGGCTGTCCTACTGCATCTTTCTACTTACCTTGAATAGTGTAGATAAAGCCTCCTGATATTCCCTCCACACCTTCTGTAAATTCATGTGGCAATGAACCTTCCCCTGCCTGATGGAGAGTGATTTAAAAAAAAAGTTCAATGTTCACTCCTGATGTGCGTTTCTTAGTGATTTGTTTAAAAGTATATACCTTTGTGATAACTAAGAATAAAAATAAAACTATTTTCAGTATCTCATTTTTCAGCATGTGCACATATGAAATAGTAAGATCTTATCATTGTAATTTTAGGTCGAAATGTTCATAAATGCCTAAACAATTTGAGATGCTCAGTTGCCATAAAAATTAAAAGCACCTGGATGTCAAAAAATTGATGCTGCAGTTTTCAGAGTTGCTAATTCTTTTTGTTCCATTACTCCAGATGAGACTGGAAAGCTAGGTTTGAAATAAAAAAGAAAAGGTAAAACAACCCTGACTAAAGCATAAAAGCTCTCCATGCTTGTGATCTAAAATGCTGACATAGAAAGAAATGATTATGCCAGGATTTCAGTAACTAAGCCAGAATATACCACAGTAAAAACCTGACTTCACTGACTTCAACAGAGCTTCACAAACAGTGAATTTTGACCCATTAGTTTAAATGCACCCAGAGGGAACAAGCCAACTTCATTCCCATCAAGAATGAAAAAAGACCTTTAGTGGCACCATTATTTTTGTACACCAAAGGACCCAAGTGATCCCCTGGTAGTACAAGTTTAAATTTAAACCAATTAAGGAAGTCAAACGTAAATCATCTCATATACTGAAGTTTATAGAAAAATGCAGGAAGGATAGGAAAGTGAGACTAACGCACCGCAGTGACTCTGAGCACACCCCCTCCGTCATTCACCATCACTTTGTGAAGGTTTCTAGAAACAAGGCCCTGCAAGTCTTGGCTTTCCCATACAATAGTGCCTTCAAAACTCTGTGAAAAAAGCATACTGCAGTTCACCATTACCAAGACAAACATATGCTTACATGTACATGCAGGGTAGTATTATCTCACAGTCATGCACAAAGATTTAAGGGCAAAACAATATTTCTAATTTTGAGAGATCCAGCTTGATATAAATGTTGGTTTTGTAACACAGCAAAGGTATCTTTCTTAGCCTTGATGGCAACAAAACAAATCAGAAATAAAAGGATGAAGCATACGAAACAGTTAAGCTTTTTAGCCAAACATCATATTTCTCCACGTTAGGAGCCATATTAAAATTTAATAGAAACCTACAAAGAAAGTTTGTTTTCCAGATGTTTAAAAAAACTGAACTGTATTTAAAAAAGAAGTAAACTGAATTTTTTTTAATTAACTGTAAAAACTTACATTACAGAATACATTAAAAGAAATCTGAAAATCAGTGATGCTTTTCATCATCTGCAAAAGCCCTTATCTGAGTTCTCTGCTGAACTCAGAGGAAGAAATGGAACTGCCTTTGCTGCCCTGGCACAGTTGTCACCAGCTGTTGCAGGACCATCACAGGACCCAGGCCTATCTTGGCAGGCAAGTAAAAGATATAAGGATTTTCTTCACTCCCTTCCTTTTCCCCAACCCACCCTCAGGCTTTTAATTATCACTTTAAAGTTATCTCTTGGGCATGTATGATCTTAAGAGGGGTTTTAAAAAATTATTAAAAAAAACCCATTTCAGTTAGCTTCTTCGCTGATCCACTGAATGCTGCATATATGGACACCTATAGATATGTAAATGCTACAATAATTTCCTGATGAAACCTCTCAGATGGTGAGAAAGAGGCAAAAAGGGATGAAGGATAATTTTAATTATAATTATTAAATTATAATTTAATTTTAAGTTGTCTCATTTTTAAAATAAGCCTGTCCCCACCAGAAAAAAAACATACAATAGATCCATCAAAAGTTTCGCAAACATTAAATAATTTTCTTTTCAGCAAGATATGGTCGAGGTTTAGATCGATGCCTCCCAACCTGAAAATGAAAATGTTGGTACAGTGACCACAACAGCAGGTGGCTGTTGTGTGCATGCAAGCAAAACTTTCTCATTATTTACAATTATCCATGATTGCTGACAACTCATCAATGATCAGAATGGTTTGCCAGCCTGCCTGTATGCCACTCTTCAGTTCCTGCTTTGCACTGTCCTTTTCTCCATAGACTCTCTTCACTGACTGAGTTCCAAAACAGTTCAGCTTCCCGTAGCTTCATCAGACTTCTCAATATCATCCACCAACCGGTCATTTTTCATCACTGTGGCATGCTCAATATGCAATCATGGATACACACTGCAAAAGTCCCTCATCTCTTGGTTTTTAATTCCAATTTAGTAATGAATACAGGGCCAGATCTAGGGGGAGGGGGTGCAGTGGTGGGGTTGCCCCCCCACTGCTTTTGATTCCTGCACCACCCAAAATTTAAAATCAACTTTCTGGCAGTGGCAGCAGCATTTCTATTCAGGCAACAGTGAGGGAGTCAATTGAGTTAATAGATCATTACAATCTACCTGATTCCTTCTAAACTCTTCATTCCACACGTGTTAATGACCCTCTCTCCTTTTTAATGGTCTTGATATTTCACTAATCAAGCTAGCCTTTCTTCTGCAATGCTGACTGATGTCTGTTAGCTGCTCCTGGTAACCTAGCTCCTATTTCACAGCTCTGCAAGCTGTTTTTATCTCTAGCTAAAACACTAACTTTTGTTTTTTATTCACAAAATATGATATAGCAAATTAATGCACATTCCAACAAAACTGCATTAGTTTTTGCTTTGATCTTAAATGGAATAGCATAGTAGTAAATTCTCTACTTTATTTTTAACTGGAGAAAACTGTGTTGTCTTATATGTGATGATGATGTATCACACACCACCTACACCTCCCTTTTCAAAATCCTAGATTCACTCAGGAACAGACCCAGTTAGTCCTCTGACAAAGTCAACTTTTATGCTTAATACCTTCACTCTGCTTGCCTTTATTTCTTAACTGAAAAGACAAATGGCTCATTACTAAGCCTTTTTGTAAATAATTAATGGCATGACTTCCCAACATCCTCCACTGTGAAAAATCAGATAGCATCTCTTCTTCCCTTGGTGATGTATTTACAAGGTATTTTAGTAGCTGCTTTTTCCTATTTTCACATTTTTTGCAGGTTTGAGACTCCTTTTCTGCCTGAATAAAAGGGAATAGGATAACACTTTCCAGGTCTACTTCAAAAACATGTTGAAAGGCTAAATCAATTAGTATTCAAGATCGTTGAAAGCAAGGTGTTTCGGTAGTGCAAAATATTATTGCTTTATAAGGTGAGAGATTTGTAAGCAAATTTACTAATGGCTTTAGCCTTTAGCTACTCTGTTTCTAAGCTCCTAATGGAAACTTCAGGCCTAGAAATGCTGAAAGGAGATCATTAGCAGCACACCTGAGACCAGATAATCTATTTTCTCCTTATTTAAATTCCACCCTTCTTGCAACTGGAGAGCCCTGGCATTCACAATGAAGACTGAACAGGTGTATTGACAGAATGCAGCCTTGTCAAACTCCTTTCCTAATGTAAAACAGTACTGTGTCTTTTGTTGTTTTACTTCTCATTAGTAACAAAGTGTACATATGGCACAGAGTCCTACTTCTACATGAGTGGTTTGGAGCTCTGTGTCAAAACAAATGCTTCTTTAAAACTTGTCCATAAGAGCCCCTTAGCCCCGGTGTTTGCTGGCTGTGCTCTCCTGGTACTTTGACTAACATCTGAAACTGCGTGATTGACTCGGCCTTGGACAACCTGGCCTGCCAGATCCTTGCTCTTATGTTTTATTTCCCTCCATCCCTCTTAGGATGATGGGGGGAAAAGTAGCACCTTAGCTGAAAGACGGAGGTTCTTTAATGCTTTCAATCTCTAAAGGAGGAAGCGTAGGAAATATATGAAGCCTTGTACCCAGCTTATGGCAATTAAACACTTCACTACAAAATCTATCCACCTCAACATGACTGCATATTGAAATGTGTGCTATGAATCTCTTCCAGATGAGGCTGCCTGCTCCAATATCCTAAATGCCACAGAGGACAATGAGCCAAATCCAAAATGGAACTTACACACCTACACTTGCATCCAAGAAAAAAAAATCAGGCACCTTCGTCCATCCCCCAAAAGCCACCCTCATCTCTTAAGCAACTGAGAGGCCAGAGGCACTAAAGTTTTCACCAGAAAGCTTACTTAGGTGCCTAAAGCTGTGCTGCTGAGAGAACCCACAACTGGTGCCAGACCAGTCAAGCTGAGTGCCCAGGTGCCTAAGTCCTACCAACGTCTGTTTGCAAACTGTGGGTCCCTGTGCCTAAGTTCCCTGTGGGTCTTCATCTTCCTAGACTCAGAGTGTGCTCAACAGGCAGAGAGCACCGAGTGCAGTATGAAGTACAGCATCCAGTCACTTTCATTAAAAAACAACACACTTAGCCGAGGAGGAGCCCCTCTTTTACACAACAAAAGTTAGAGCAGCTGCCAGGAAGTCAGACCTGAGCTCAATGCCTTCCTTAGCTTGAAGGGGCACAAACCACATCTCTCACCTCTCAGACAGGTGCCCTGTCTGGGAGGCTGGTAGAAAGGCTGGAGCAGGGACATTCTCCATCCTGTGAAGCTGTAGAAAGGAATGCGAGATCCCAGCATGGAGGACGACCTCCCTGGAGCTCTGCGATGAAGGGATTCCCCCGGGAAAGGGGAGCCCTGGATACTGGGCCCTTCTCTTGCATGGTACATTAAAGGGCTGCTGGATAATATGCATGAGCAGTCCTGAGAACAGACTGGAAGCCAGGGCTCCCTCCCTCGTCCCGAGGCTGTTCTCTCTCTCCTCTATCAATCCTGCATTTCTTTGTCCCAGCTTCAACAGGAGAGATGGACACAGTCAGGGTTCGAATTACATTTTGCTTCTTGGGGAGCTCTGCAAAAAAAATTGGGCTGCTCATCACAATGCCCTAATAAAATCAGAGACCCCCCAGGTTATGGTTTTCAAACCTTACAGGAGGGCTCTTGTCTTTTATGGGGGGGCTCAACCCCCTCGAGCTTCCCCGTAATTCAGACCGTGGACACAGTACCCCACTCTGACTAACCTGCTGCCTGGTGGTTAGGGCACTCACAGGAGATGGGAGATGAGCTTTCTATTACCTCAGGCTAAGGAGAGCCTAAAACCTTGGTCTCCCATTTACTAAATAAGTGCCCCCTGGGTACTGTATGTAAGATGGACACTACCACCATCACCTCCTCCCCCTCCTATGGTTAAAGAAAAGAGTGAGTCACTCAGGCACCTCTGGGCTGAAAGGAGTTTGGGACTGTAAATCCCAATTTCTCATAGGTGCCTAAATCCAAGATAGAGACATACCCTTATCTCCTACTGGCTGATTTAAGCATCTTCCTTCTCAGCATTGTCTGAATCCCAACTTTAGGCCCCTAACATCACATCACTGTGTAGATTTACAACACATGTGGCACAGGAGGAACAACAGAGCAGGCCCCCATAGCAAAAAGGAGTTGGTGTTATTTTATTTAGAAAAGAGAAATTTTTCAGATCTTTCTTTTTAATAAGAATGCAATAATTTCTATCCAAGCATGGAGATGCATTAGTGTTTAGAGATGCTAAGAGGAAATATATTATAACGGTCTTGGATTTTGGTATCTTGAAAAAGTCTTCAAAGATTTACATTAATAACATCTAAGCCCTGCAGAAACCAATCCCCTATCACTAAACTGTTGGCCAAACAGCATTCTAAAATAAAAATACAGCATATTCTGCACATCACAATAATTTACATTTCCTTCCCCTGAAGAAATTTAAGCACCAGTAAATCACATAGAAAATGCTGCAAGATATTTGCTTACTTGACAAGCTATGCTGCCAACACGCTACTCTGGTGGAATATTAAACAAAATTTTTTAAGGAGATAAAACAACCGATCAAGTGCTTCCTCCTCTTACAGGTAACTGGCTCCCAGTGTATTCAATCTTGTGAAGCCATTGGAATAAAGTCAGGGTTTAAACTGGCCCCAAATTCATACTTGTCTCAGTTTTCTTCCCTTTCATAGAAACCATTTAACTATTTCTCCCATGACCTAAAATCATCCTGATCCAGAGTGAGAAATATGGTTTCTATATGATGTAGTGCAGCGGTTCCCAAATTGTGGGTCATGACCCCAAATGGGGTTGTAACATCAGCAGATGGGGTCACAGGGGTGGGGGGCTGTGGGTTGGGAGTGAGAGGCTATGCTGAGGAAATGGGGCCATCAATGGGGTCATGATGAGGAAAAGTTAGGGAAGCACTGACGTAGTGTATGTATCACAACACTGGTCTGACAATAGTAGGAGGCAGCATATAAATGAATGAAAACCCACTTAACATCTAAAATATTTATAAGATTAGAACACAGTGAATACTCCCGACAGCTGGCAGCTTTCCTGAGCCAGCACTCCTGTTTAAAGTCGGTGTGTAATGTGAGCAGTGACTGTAAGATGGTAGCCTCACTGTAGTAATGCCCATTCTATTGTCTTTGTCTGCCTATCCTCTCTTTTGCTTTATTTAACAACTTCCTTCCACTACAAACATATCCTTACAAAACAACCTAAACTCAAGGCCTACAAGACATCATTAATGGGATAACAAAACTTTGGACCCAAGCTTTACAGCTTAAACAAAAATACTCAGGATCAGCAACAACTTTAAAAACCCCATGCCTCCCCTGCCAGCTGGATTTCCCAAATTTCTGAAAGCTGTGCTCCCGCTTCAGGAAAATTACACAGATCATTATTCCTCCTGACCTTGGCAGATGTGTTGCGAAAGGCATACACATCCTTTATGCACCCCTACCTAGGTTTTCATGTGTACATATGCACGCACACACACACTTTAATACGATGCCTCTATTTTCCCACATGTTCCAACGAGCAGTGAAATAGCTGACACCAAAATTTAAAGTATCATCAGTATTTGGGTTCATATCTGTTGAAACAATAGGTCTACATTTCAGAGCTACTGATTCCAGCTCTCTGCAAGCTCAGACAGATGCCTCTGCATCACTTACACCCACTACACATTTTGCAGTTATAACTAAAACGTGACTCTTCCCCACCCACACCATGAAAGCAGGAGACTGGAGAACTGAGAGATCTGTCTGTGCCTCTTGAAGTCTTCAGCACTCATCTCTAAAAAAAAGGGGCATGCCCCATTTTATGGGAAACACTTTCTTAAAAGCCTGAGGGACATCAATAGCCCAAGGTTAAGAGACAATTCTCACTGAAATGCTACTAACATACTAGTGAAAAATTATTTTAGAGGACCGCATAAAGCAGAAAAGAGCAAATGAACATTGTTAGAGCACCAGCTGCAAAGAGCTGCCAAGTGTTAGCACCTAGAACTGCTAACATTGGCATGTTGGTATCACTAAACACTACATACTAATTGTTGAGAAATATAAATAGAATAAAAATGGAAATACCAGTCTTACAAATCAACTTCCCATGCTGACTTATAACTACTCAGAGTGGCCTAAATACTGCACATACCTCTGGCAAAATGAACTGCTCTACTGGTTTGTACCACACTCTGTTCACTTGCACTCCACAGCTAGGAGGACTAAAGCGAGCACTGAAGAGAGCCTCCTGTAAGCAAAAAGAAAAAGAAAGAAAGAACAAATATATAAGAAGCTTAAAATCTTATATTCAACAGCTGCAAAAACTATGAAAACTTGCATTATCCTAACCAGTTGACAGTGGAAACAAAAAGCCTCTTAAAGCAACTTTTAGTACTGTTTTAAACAACTGTATTGGATGTTTTTTGCTTACAAATAGCCCATAAGACTGCAAAGTACTTTTCCCCTAGTGAATTCACTAGTACTTCTCCCCTAGTGAATGGTCATGAGAGGCAATAACCCAGAAAGAAGAAACAACAGCAGTATCAGCTACCCTGTTCCATACTTCCAGCTTCTCATTCTTGATCTACATGATGCACCTTCTCAGACTACTAATTCTTACCAGTTGGTAATGAAGGACAGTTAGTTACTAGGATCTGAACCAATGAACAGCTTTCAAATAATAACTGGAGACTTTGAAATCAAGACACCATTGTTCATGCCCACCCCACTAAACAAGGCATTCTCTCCTGTAGTATTTCATTATCTTCCATTTTACTTTAGCTATAAAGCTAATTCATCTTGAGTTGGACTCTTCCTATGCCTGAAGAAGGGCGTGTGTCCAAAAGCTTGCAAAGAACAATATTTCCGGTCTAATAAAAGATACCACATTTACCCAAAGAACCTTATCTTTCTAGACTGTCCCTCAGGTAATTTTATTGCCTCCCTCTCTCCGTTCACCAACTTCTTTTCACTCCCCACAGGATGAGGTGATGTTATGAAGGTATTCCCTATCGTCTTCCTTACCCCTTTTTGCTCCCAGCTCCCTATTCCTCATCTCAAACACATGCAAACTAGCCATTTGAATTTTAGCTGGAGCAACCTTGTCCAGGAACATAATAGAACCAGGTTTATGGAATTATTTATGAGACTAGGTTGCCATGAAAAACACAGTGTGCTCCCTGTTCTCAGAGATCTGTACCATACCATTATTGCATGACCAGCTTCTCACTGCCTGAAGAACTGGACACATCAAACTATGAAACTGCACACAAATGCATCAACACAAGGCCACTCCTGATATCAGCATAACTCAAGTGTAGCATGGTAAAACTTAAACATCTAACCAATATGCTGTCAGAAAAGGGCTTTCATTTCCAGCATCATTGCATACTCCTTTTTATAGCATAAGGTATAACAAGAGTTTGTACATGCTCCTCATAGGAAAGGCACATTGTAATAGAAAGGCTACATAAAGTTTAGTCATGTACTATTGCACGCCTACTGTTAACACACAACCATCACTAAATTTGATTAAAATAAGCCCATTCACTGGAAATGCATTGTGAAGTCCTTTGTTAGATGAACATTTTCATGATGAATATTTGGAGCCAACTGGATAAGGTGATGGATGTGAAAAACAAACAACCCCAACCCCCTCTCTCCTCCCCCCCCCCAAGTGGTTTTCAGTTTTCTAATTTTTTTTCCAAACAAACCCCAACAAAACAAAACCAAAATTTTGTCCAGGACCTAAAAAATTTAAGATAGATGAATTGCGCTGTTTACACAAAAAACTGGGTAATCTGATCGATTAATCTTAAAAGTTACATGATAAAGTAAACAGAGTTTAGCAAATCTTTATATTACCAGCCTAAAGTTTGAGTCTGTAACACATCTGGAAAATTGAATAAAGTTTATTTTGTTGACTACATACTAACTAATAAAATGAACAATAACTTTCAGATGCCCTGACAGAGGCTGGAAAGATATATGAAACATGAATCAATAGTTTTACTGTGGTTCCATACTCTTATGCTGCTTGTAGACATTAAAAAACCAAAACCAAAATGGCGCTTTACTTTAAATTCGGCACACTCCCACGCTGAGCCCAGCACATGCCCAGAAGAGGTATTGTACTAGTTAGACCTGGCTCTCACGCTTTTGTGGGGCTTTTTTGGCACCTTTATCTAATAGCTGGCTGACTCAGCTTTAGCTAAAAGTGCCAAAAAGTCCCACTGAAGTATCTGATCTATACAGACACTGCTTTTTCTGGTAAAGCGAAGATTTGGGTTTTTTTGCTTTTAACATCTGCAAGCAGCCTTAGATAGTAAAGAAGTGTTTTTTGTATGCTTGTTTAAATACATATAATATTTTTCAATCTTCTTAAGTTAAAGATAAAAAAAATGGTTTATTTTGGAATTAGAGAAAACATGTAATCAATAAGTATTTCTATTAACTCACAGATCACATACCTAAAAATTTTGTTATAGAGAAAATCTGATAGTGGACCAGCAGTTTCCAATCTGTGGTACACGTACTGCCAGTGGTACACAGATAACCTGTCAGTGCTGCGTTAACAGATTTATTATAATTACTTTATATGAGGAAAAATTTGCTGGTGGTACTCAATGTTGAAGTGAAAAATTTGCTGGTGGTACTTAAGGTTGTATCATTTTAAACTGGTGGTGCGCAATCTGAGTTTGGGAATCGCTGGACTAGTATGTAAATTCCACAGGTTTTCACATGCACCAGATAAAAAATGGGATACATGAAAAATGTTCAATTACTCAGCTGACAGTTGCAAGAGTGCAATCAAAAAGGAAATGCTTTTATTAGCATACAAGATGTGAAATCATGAATTTATTAGGTCATTACCATATATGTAATATTCTGCAGGTACTCCATCCATAACAGAAAGTATGCTTTGATATATTTTAGTAAGATATTTATAATACTGTACCTCCTGTTCTGCCTGGTACAGTTTGACAGTGATATTCCTCTGGAATCCTACACCATCAGCTTCATAGAATACCCCCAGACTGGTAATTACAATCGGGTAAAGGACTCTGAAACTGACACTAACAATTCTGTCTTCAGACAGCAAAGAGGTAGTATCCTCAGGTAGAGTGAATGCTTCAATTTCTTGATTCAAAACTATATTTAAAAAAAAAAAAGGACACAATCAGTGTGAGCAGATTTTATCATTTTTTAACTTACTATAGACAAGGCATGGAATAGCTGATTAACTGGCCCGGCTGGCATATGCACAAACATAATCAAACTCCAAAGGAAAGATGACTGACTGCCACAAAGAGAAGTTTGCAAGTTGCTTAATAGTCAGCTAGTTACCAGTGACTGTAAGTCACTGCTTGGACAGAGGAGAAGAAACACATTAGGTATTAACACTGTGCTTCACTGTACTGGGAATGCTTTTTCTTTGGGAATCTCTACCCTTGGAAGACTAAGATTGTGTCTGAATGGCACAATATAGTGCCAGGTTGCTCCAAATGAGCTAGCTCAAATACCAGAAGCAGCATAGCTGCATTAGCCCAATGTTCTGCCAAGGCTTATATGCCTTGCTGAGAAACTGAAGTGACTACACAGCTTCTAGTATCAGAGCTAATTCAGGTGTTTTTGCATGGCACAACATTGTGCCACGCATACATACTCTAAAAGTCAACAGTCTTTCCTTTGTAAGTCTCCCCCATTGATATCTACATATGATATATCTGGACAGTAAACTCCATAACTAATAGAGAGCGGTTGCAAGATTTTGGCCCATTACTGTGACCACCAGTAAGCTGTCAGGGTGTCCCAATAAAGAGGAGTCTATTTGATATAATATTTTAAAAGAAGAACCTCCATACCTGGGTTACTAATATTCAGAAGTTTGCAGGAATAAGGATCTTCTCTGTCTTCTACAGGCACATCACAGCCATGTGCACCTATTATAAACTTCACAAGGACACTAAAACAATTGGCTTCCATTAGCACGTTATTTATTTTTATCTTCAGTAAGACGATTTCAATACAGAGACCTGTCCTTCCACACTTTAGGGTTTCCGAGTCCTTTAAAATAATCCCTTTAATGGAAATTTGTCAATTTGGCATTTGACAGAAGAATAAGTGTTACTTATAACTGAACTTATTGAATCCAAAAAAACATAATTCATTGAGGGCCTGGGCATGTGACACATATATATCAGTGCAACTTCCATCAGTTGTATACACAGATGTAATTTTCACCAGGATCCCAAGCAGACAGACTAGCAGCTGTCTAGGACAGTGGTTCTCAACCAGGGTATCATGGCACCCTGGGGTACCTTGAAATCCTTTCAAGTGCGCCACACAATGTTAGCACTCTTCGATGTGTAAATATGATTCATAAGATAAACTCAGACATTTCAAACAGGAACCCATAGTATCAAAAGCACCCTGACTTGGTGTGGTCTTTCTGAGTTCTTTGTAACCAATGAATTGCTCTATTATTTTTCTGTAGTCAAAAAATGAAAGCTAAAAGCTAGCATTTTCTAAGAGTCCTTGTTAAGACTTAAGATGCTACCTTGAGTTTAATAAGGTTGAGAACCTTTGCTCTAGGAATAGGTTGCTTCTAGTAGGTCCTGTTACAGCACCTTGACCATAAGTGGTGGGGGAGCATATAACAGCCTATTTTCCTAGAATAATTGTGCTCAATCTTTTGGCCCCACAGGCCAGGTGAGTGGGGCAGGGATGGTCCCCAAGTAAAAACCCACACAGGGTCACTGCATGGGATTGGGCCCTGCATGACCAGATCAAGCCCCACACTGTCTTGACCTGACTCCGGATCAGGGCCCTATGCTGTGCTAGCCCCACACACCTGGATCAGGCCAGCACTGAGCTACCTCAACCCCGCACACCTGATCTACCCCCCAGGTCTCATGGTATCTGGCCTGCAGAGGTTCCCTTGGGTCTGAAAATTTGGGAGCAGGGGACCAGCAATTAATGTTGCCACTACTCTACCAAGTTTTTGGACCTAAGGGAAGCCTTGCAGGCTACATGGCATGGCTCTGCAGGCCAGACCAGGCCCATGAGTCATGGGTGAGACACACTTGGCCTACAACAAATGGCTACCCCACCTGGAAGAGGACAGATTTCTTGTGGGGTAATTTTACCCTGAATTCAAGGCATATGTAACTATACCAGCATAGTGCTTTAATTAGTTATTCATTTCTTGTCTACAAATTTGTTGCATGTTCAAGCTCTTAGACACCACCCTATTCTGTTCCACCAGTTTATTTCTTTCTATTCTAGGGAGTTAGATTTACAAATCTGAAATGCAAAGCAACATTGTTAAGCACAGCCAAGAGCTGTTTCTTTAACAGAACTGTATGTGGTTTTACAGATAGTTTTAAAATAAAGCTTAAAATTATTGTATCACATAGAACAAAGGGATTTCCTGCAAGTGGCTGTTTTGTTCCTCATTTTATTTAATCATAGGACATAACTACAAGTTCTGCAACGATCAGGCCATCCATTCCAACTCAGACATTCCAATTTTCATAAACAAGCAATTTAACACGGAAAAAAGAAATCCAATTTAATGAGATTTTAAGATTGAGAGTTCAGCAGCAAGAGAGAAGGGAAATTCAGGTGACCCAGATTGCCTTCAAGTATTATGTGCTAAACAGAATGACACATTGTGTTAGGAAAGTAATTGAATTTATGCATACCAACAATGAACCCAAACCATGACTCTCTGGCTAGGGACAGAAATTACATATAGACTGATGTAAGTGATTTAAACCTGTAACAGAATAGAAGCTCAGTGCACATGAAACCGTTTCAAAATGGCTGAAACTGGTTTAAGATAAACCTGGCTGAATGTAGTATCAGATTGAACTGATTTGGGTCAAACCAGTTTATGAAACTTCTGTCCCAGACCCCTTCCTGGTTCAAGTTAAATCACACTCCCCCAGCAACTTGCATGCTTTGCAGCCCTGGGCTGGGCTGTGCTACCTGCTACAGAGAGCAAGGCTAGCCCTGCCCCTTTGCTTCCTAGCTGGAGCAGTGAGGGCTGGCTGACAAAGGGTGGGAAGCAAGCCCAGCTGGGGATGCAGCTCAGTCTGCAGAGGGAAAGAAGGGGGGGGGGCTGCCTCCTCACCCCAGGCCAACCCTGGCTGGGGTCTGGGGTCAGAGAGGGGGGTTAAACACCCCTTTTCTCGCTCAAATTTCCTGCTGGCTGCAAATGTGGATTACAAATCCCAGAGACGCATGGAAGCAGGAAGAGGAAGTGATGAGCAACCCTGCAGAGTCCTGCTGCTCTAATTTTGGACTGCAAATCCCAGAGACCTTGGAGGCAGCAGGAAGAGGAAGCGAACACACAGCCCATGCTGGCTATATGCCAGAGAGCTGTGCTCTAGCACCCACTGGGCTTCTGGCCTGAGCCACTGTAGGCATGTGGCTGCATTTTCTAAAGCAAAGGTAAATGTCTGTTCAATTCTGTTTCAGCTTAATCTCTGCATCTTAGATTAACCTGCAAAGACTGAATCAATTCAGCCTCAGGCTTTTTCACTGTCTGTACTTAGCCTCTATTTCCTGACTTCTGGACAATTAATACAATCGCCAAGGTTCAGGTTTTAGATACTGAGTTTTGCTAACTTCCTTCCCCGACTCAATAACACACACTATTATTTAACAGTGCCTCAGTCCATTAACAAGGCAGAGTACCAAGGGTAATCACCTCTTCATAGCTGCAACATAACTACAAGACTTATGATCTAATGTTCACCCCTCCAAGTCGTGTATGAGAATGGTCACACAAATCTGTATGAACCAGTGTGGTTCTTTAGCTGTGCACACCTTCAAACACAGTCCTACTGATGAACCACCAGTTTCATTTTTACACAGAAGAAAAAAAAATAAACTTGAAGCCCATGCTTCATATAAGATTTATATAGGTCAGCAGTTCTCAACCTTTTTATATTCAAGACATCCCTTGAAAAATACCAGCTCTTAGTTTTCACTTGCTTTTTTACTATAGAAAAACAGTAGAGCAATTCTTCTGTTGCAAAGAACTCATGAGGCCACAACAGGTCAAAATGTTTTTAATACACTGAATTTCTATTTGAAATCTCTGGGTTTATCTTTTTTCATAGTTGTTAGGGGCTGGAAGGGACCTTACAGATCATCAGCTTCAGCCCCTCTGCACTTGGGCAGGAAAGACTGCTGGGACCAGATGACGTCAGCAAGATGGGTGTCAAGACACTTTTTGAAGATTGCCAGGGTAGGTGACAGTACCACCTCTGTGGTGAGCCTGTTCGAAACCCTCGGTACTCGACTTGTAAAGTTTTTCCTTAGGTCTAGCCTGAAGCGATCCTCAATCAGCTCGTGCCCATGATTTCTTGTCCTCCCCTGGGGGGCCTTGGTGAATAGATGCTCCCCCCAGGCCCTGATGTATGCCCTTGATGTACTTGTAGGCTGCCACCCAGTCCGCTCGGAGTCTTCTCTTCTCCAGGCTGAACAGTCCCAAGTCCATCAGCCTCTCTTCATATGACCTGGTCTCCAGGCCTCTAACCATGCACGTCACCCCCCTTTGGACTCTCTTGAGCTTCTCCACATCCTTCCTGAAGTGCAGTGCCCAGAACTGGATGCAGTACTCCAGCTGCAGTCTCACCAAGGCTGAGCAGAGTGGGAGGATGACATCCTTAGCCTTGCTCAAGATGCCTTGGTAGATGCATGCCAGTGTTTGATTAGCTCTGCCAGCTACAGCATTGCATTGGTACCTCATGTTCATTTTGTTGTCTATCATGACACCCAAGTCTTGTTCAGATGTGGTGCTAGCAAGCATAGCACTGCCGAGCCTGTAAATGTGTGGTGAGCCATGTCTGCACACCTAACAGTGCTAACATTGTGTGGCACCCTAAAGCACCCTTGATCAAGGTACCCTGGCTCAGAATCATTGATGTAGGCATACTGTTAGCTTGCTACCAAAAAGGAAGCACATGACCTAGAGCTGTAGGCATGATAACTGCTACGCTGTGAAATAAGATCAGCTTTGAATCCTTCCATTAAGCAGAAGTGTCAGTATTTCTTAATATCAGAAAATACTCTTGCACACAAATAACTAAAAATGTTAATTCCCATCAAAAATCCATTTCAGCCCCACATTTGCATAACATTTTTCTAGTTTTAAAGAGGTATCAGGAATGAAAACAGCCTGTCATCCATTAGAGAGGATGCTCATCAGCTTAAGGCAAGGCTTGTTTTTTCATAGCAGAGGTTAAGAAAATGATGTTTATTTGTTTGGCTGCTAGATTCTCACACAGCCTAAGTAATGTAAAATAGCAGAGATTACCGCTGGTTCAGTGCTGGACGTAGCTTCAGGTGCTTGAACCAAGTGTTCCTTATAACATTCCGTAGCTCGTGATTGTGGCGAGCAGATAATACACCCACGATAACATCATAATGTTTCAGCTTCCACTGAGGAAAGAAAGGGAGCGGACCTAGGAATTTAAAATAACAATGATTTACCGTACAAACATAATCCCACAAGTTGGAGCTGCAAGCAGTAATTCAAAAGCACAAAGGTAAGTGTACTGAATGCCTTGGGCATTAAAAAACTTGAAGGAAATTAGTGTCATGTTCTATGCCTAACACCTGGAAGGTATTTTCAGCTTGCCCCAACCAGCCTTACAGAGCTATGAAATTATTACTAGAGAGCTAAGGAAATAGCCAGCTGGCAACCTAACTGAGGATCAGAGGCCCATAAAGCAAACACAAGAATGAAACTCTCCTTTGACTGATTATTTATGTGGCTACCTACATTCTGAACAAGCTGCTCCAGGACAGCATGATGCAGTCGCGCTCCACATTTTGGATGAGCTACCAGAAATTCAAGCTGAACACTGTGTAAATGGCACCTTCCGTTTTGCCCAATCTGCAAAATCTGAAATGACTCCGGCTACACCTATCTCATGCAGTGATCATCTCCCTGTGTGACCAGAGCTAGGTCACTCTTGCTATCATGCATTCACAGCCAGAATGCTCAACCAAGACGCTCCAGCTGAGCCTGGTTACAATCACACAGCAGATGCCTCTGCACCTCTGTCCAGGCTTTTTCATTATTGCTGGCTTCATTTGCCTCAGCATTTTGTTTCCTGCCTGAGTTCTTCCTAGTCTCTGCCCTTTCAAAGTTATTAAAGCAGAGAAATGAGGTTGTCAAGCATTAGCTCCCCTATATATACATTTTTTTTTACTTTGATTGGGAGGGGGTGCATGTGTGTGTGCACGCACAGAGATCTTTGGCAATAAGCTCCACCATAAGTGCGCATACATAATTCAGTACTTGCTAACAATGCTTCTTAAATGTATAGGTTGTTAAAAATCAGACTTCTCTTTAAAGCAAGACTTGGACTCAAGAGAAAGCTGAGGGTATAAACAGACATCATCTTTGTTGTGGGATCAGCACAGCTAAACTGCTTCACTAGTATTTATAGATGTTGCTGTTGTGTGCTAGGGTCAGGCCCCTGCCTCTCTTACTGTTTCAGGGGCCTGATCCTGCAGAACAATGGCCCTGTCTAAGCTTTTAGAAGTAGAGTCCATCTTTGTGTGCCAAGCCACTAAGGAGAAAGCATCCAATGCCCCAGGCTGCAGCTGACCCAGGCGGAGGCTGCAAAGCCTCTAGTAATGGTTGCCTGAATGTATTCAGAAGGGCAGCAGATCCCCAGTCTTTGCCCTGCCCACAGCAGTTGGAGGCAGCCACATGCTTGTTCAGCACCTCCACCAGAGTTAAAGAATAAATTAGCAGCCCTACAGTGGCGTGTCCTATGTCCCCTCCAGCCTGGGCAGGCTCCAAGGTGGGCAGGAATAGGTGAGCCACAGGCTGTGTCTTCCCGCCACCAGCTCCTTGCTCCTTTATGGCAGAGTCTCACTTTCCCTCACCTCCCAGACTGTAGTAGCTGGAGATGGGGAAGGAGTGCCAATTGACAGACAGCCCTGCTTCATCCTACTCTGGTGCAGTGACATTTGAGCCTGCCTTTTTTTCAGTCCAAGTGCACTTGCTGGGTAGCACTCACCGACCCCAGCCTGGCACAGACTCCAGTGGCTATTGGCTCTCACTCGGTGCTCGGCCTGGTCTCCCCTGCACAGACGGAGTTGGGCATTTTTCTTTCCTGCCCTCCCCTCTCCTTTTTAAAAACAAAACAAAAAACACAAAACTTCATCAGCTTTTTTTTTTTTTGTAAAGAAAAATATTTGAGCACTTTGAGGTTATATGAGGTTCCTTGCTCCTCACTTGCAGATACATAGCCCAAGGATTCCTCTGCCAACTGCCCTCCAGGAATAATGTGGGGGGCAGCTGGGGTGGAATGGAACATGAGCAACTGGTACCACCTTAGTCAGGGGGGGGCATGTGCCCCCTCCAGCAACCAGTCAGCGAGCAGGTGGTGGCTTCGGGAAGTGGCCACCACACCCTGGCCAGTGCTTGCAGGCCCCCCCACCGTCACTTAAGCAGGGAGTGCGGCCCATCAGGGGGTGCATTAGTGCTCTCAGGGGGTGCACATGCACCCCCATTCACCACTTATGCGTTTCCACTGGGACTGAGTATCGCCGCTGCCACCTCATGGAGGGGAGAAGCTTGCCCCTCCATCCTCCTTGGCCAGCACCCTGCGCTGCCACCACCTCCAGGGAGCAGGGCTGACCCGCTGTCATGGTGGCACTCCACCACGTAGCCTGACCGGAATGCTCTTGGAGCACTCTGGTTGTTTCAGTAACCAATCAGAGTGCTCCAAGAGTGTTACAGACAGACAGACAAAGCCCTTTATTATATTAGAATTAGAATGGTAGGGATCACTTCCCTCCAACCTTTCTTAGTTCGACCCCTAATCCAAAAGTTTAAAATGACATATCTACAAATGCCAGAGCTCTCCAACACAACCACTGCAAAGTCATACTGGGATCTAGTTTTGGGGAGTCAAAAAAATATCTGTAAGTTTATACTGTCTGCTCCATTTAAAATGGTTTGATCTGGAAACTCTGAATTTCTGTCCACTGTATCAGGGTCCTCCTTAAAAACTCAGAGGGAAGCATGAGCATCACCACAACTGCATACACAGTCAGTACATAGGCGACGCGTACAGGGGTCTTGGGGGGGGGGTATATGCCCCCCCAAGAGTGAGTACTCTGGCTGGTAGCGGGGCATGGAGAGTGCTTGTGTCCCCCCTGAAATGGGCTCCGGAGGTGGGATGTTGTCGGAGCAACTGCCGGCAGTGGAAGTCCCAGCACTTCCGCTGGCGCCATGCCACATGCGGAAGTGCTGGCACTTCCCCACAGCTGCCGTGCCACTGGTGCACTCAACGACCAGCTGCTGGAGGACCCCCCAGTCACTGGCTGGCCGCTGGGGCCCCCGCCTTGGTTGTGCTCCACTGGTGCCCCACCAGACTCAGGAAGCACCAGTCGCCCATGAGTCAGTACGAGGTCAACGTTGAAAAGAAGGAAAACAAATTTTCAGAAAGTCCAAGTTGTTGCCAATTGCGTCTTTGAAAAGGACATTCTAGAGTCAGGGTGCACGAGATACACATGTCTGAAGCAAATTTACATTTGCAAACTGTTTAAACATGGCTTTTGGCAGCACAGTTTCAATTGTAGCATACTATAAACAGAAGCTTAGTACATACAGTTAAATTAAGAGAAGTTTACATAATCCAGGAACTTTGGAGGTGATATGAGATCCCTGAGGCTATTTTATTTTTACACTGACTAAAATGTCACTTCTTCCTCAAAAAGCTCTAAGTTTCCCACTCATGCTGTTTTGCTTCTTTTAAGAAATACGCACTGACATTCTGGGAAGCTTCAGGAATGTGATTTGTTTCTTGCATTTAACTGTGTATAAATACTTTGCTGTAGGTAAGAGTTTTACAGGACAAAAACTGCAGCTCAAGTCAGACTATTTTATATCCAGAAAATAACCTGCATTTCCTTCATGCGGATTACCAGAGATCCACAGAGACCCTTATATAACTGGAACCAATCTGTTTTCCATAATAAAGGATATCTGTGAAACAGGCCCATACTTGATGGACTAGAAAACAAGTAGTTCCTGTGCTTCTACAATTCTTCTTCTTCACATACTCTCTTTTACATGGCTTTCCTCCATTTGAGTATGCTTTAGAGAGCTTCTGTAGTCTATACCCAGGCTATCCAATAAGCAGCACTGTCATCATCCCACAGGAGAACTGACACTGATACTCCGAACAGAACCCGAGGCCTTACTTACCCAGACTTGCACCATTTTAAACCAGTATAAAACCATGTGTTGCTTAAGAATTAAAGCCACATATTTAGAGTGGCTAATACCATCTTAGCATAGATCAAGTCTTTACTGACTTGAGCTAAAGCAAAATAAGCCACTCAAAAACCAAAATAGAAACACTTGTTAAACGTTTGCACTAGTTTACCAAAATTAATTTTAAAACTGACCCAAATTAAAATCATGAAGCCTTCTCATGGGGGCAGAATCCCTTAAGCCAGAGCTGTCCAACTAATAGCCCGTGAGAGGTGGAGTTATGCCCCACAACTCTTACCCAGCTGTTGTTCCTCCCATTGCTAGGCCTGGAACAGGAGCCTGGCTTCCCTTCCCTCCTCTAGCCCATGCCCCAGGGGGAGGGGTGGTGTGGTGCAACTTGGGGAGCTGAGAGTGAGTACAGGGCCGTGGGGCAGGGGGGGAAGAGGTGAAGGCCATGCACCAGGGATTGCACTTGCATGGTGCATTGGGAGGGAGGGGGGGAAGAAGCTGTGGAGGGGGATATCTGCATGGGTGCGCATTGCAGCGGGGTTTGGGGGGGGGGGACACGTTCACGTGCCTATACATCGCAGGGAGGGGGAGAAAGGATGTTTGCATAGGGTGTTATGGGGGTTGCCCACAGAGCCTGGTGGCCTGTGACTTGACCAGCATGGCCCTCACTCTTGTGGCCCTGGAGGCTTAGAAGTGGGACAGCTCTGCCTTAAGCAGAGAGGTAACGTACCAAAGGAGTGTTCATTTGAAAGCCTCTCTGAGATTAGCAGTTTCATAGTTTCATGGATGTTAGGGGCTGGAAGGGACCTTACAGATCATCGGGTCCAGACCCCCTGCACTCGGGCAGTAATTCTCTTCTCTTTGGTTTCAGACTGATGACAGGTTTAATACAGCAGCATTATATATTCAGCCTTTATATTCAGAAGACTTATTTCTTAGTCCTAAGAGTGTGTGACTTTTTTTTTTTCTTAAGGAAAGGTTCAACTTTGCACAAGCTGATAAGCAGGCTCACTATGTACCAGGCAAAACTTTTTCCTCCCACTGGCAAGTCAGAGGAAAGCATTTGTTATGCTCCAAGGAAAAAGAGATCTGTCACAACCCAATTAAATTGTGCCCATGTCACTGAGCAAGAGATACCATTCAAATCATCCTCATTTTGACGACTAAGGGTTAAAAGACATCCCTGCCAAAAATTCCTTGAAACAAAACGTGGCCGGAGTACTGTAGATAATTGGTCAGCTGAAATAAAATGCTAGGGGAAACTATATATAATTGGTCAAAGATAAACGTAAGCTCCTCACACGTAGCACACACGTAACAGGTAGAGAAACCTAACCCACTACCTTGTAACTTGAGGAGACAAAGAGCTGCCACCTGCCAAAAATTAAAGATTCCATATAACGGTTCACCATTGG